ATACACAACAACATTCATAATTCTTATATGGTATCAGAGCCTGCACCATCAACCCCGCCGCCAGTCTCCCACTGAAACTTACCCCGACGAACTTCTCGTCCTGGCGTGCACAACTCCTGTCCTTACTTCAAGAACTCGATTTGGTCGGCTACCTCGATGGCACGACAGCAGCCCCTCCCGAACGCGTCCTTGTCAACGACGTTGAGGCACGAAATCCAACCTACACTAACTGGTTTCGGCAGGATAAACTTCTCCTCAACAGCCTCTTTGCTTCCGTCTCCGAAACGATATGCCCATTCATCAGTACTGCCTCTTCGCAACATGGTCCATGTTGGTTGGCATGTACGCCAACGCCTGTCGCTCGCGTGTCATCACCCTTCGGGACCGTCTCCTTGCTGAGAAACGTGGTGATCGTGATGTCACCACCTATGTTCAGTCCCTTCGCTCCATCGCTACTGAGATGGCTCCTGTCGGGACTGTCGTTCACGACGATGAACTTGTCACCTACTGCCTGCGTGGATTGGGCGACGACTACATCGAATTCTCTATCGGTATTCGCGCTCGTGAAACTCCACCTAGCCTTGAAGATCTAGTCGATCGTCTCGTCACCCTTGAAGCTGATCTCAACGCTCGTCGATCGTCATCCTCTCCCGCGACTGCTTACAACACTCAACGCGGTCGCGGCACCCGCGGTCACCATGGCGGGGCTCCTGGCCGTGGCGGGGGACGTGGTTCTCGTCCGTCCAACACCAACTCTTTCTGGGATATGACCGGCTCTTCTGGTAATGGTGAGCCCAATCGCGCTCGCATTTACTGCCAGTACTGCGACAAGCCCGGTCACACTGCGAAGCAATGCTTCCAACTCCATCCCGAAGAGCGTCCTCATGCTCATGCTCATCACGTCAACCGCCCTGCTCCCTCCTCTTCCCTCAATGGTGGATCGTGGTTCATGGATTCCGCGGGTACCCATCATGTCACCAATGATCTTGGCAACCTTGCTCACTATTCGAATTACAACGGTTGGGATGAAGTATACCTCGGCGACGGTTCAGGTTTGAAGATCACTCATATTGGCTCTTCCTCTCTTAAGTCACCTCATCAGTCTCTTCTCCTACGTGACATGCTTTGTGTTCCTGCCATCAAACAATGTTTGATCTCTGTTGCTAAGTTATGTCGCACTAACCCTGTTTCTGTCGAATTCTTTGCTCATTAGTTTCTTGTGAAGGACCTTCGCACGGGGGCGCCACTGGAACAAGGGTGACACCTATGAGCTCCCTGGTGGTTCGTTGGCAATACGTCTCGCGTTTATGACCACCCGTGACTCTGCAAGCTCCTGGCATCACCGTCTTGGACATCCGTCATCCAAATCCCTATCCAGTCTTTTAAATACCCAGTCTTTACCAATGTCTAAGTCGTCCATTTTTTTCCTTTTGCCCCTCATGTTTGTCGAACAAGAGTCATAGACTCCCTTTCGGTGATTCCAGCTTAACTAGTTCTCGGCCATTTGACTTAGTCTATTATGATGTATGGGGTCCAACACCGTGTTCCCTCGTCCTCACTTAAGGGTAGCATTCTGTTTACCGTCATGTTCAACGAGTCCCCCAATTACTCAAAACTCTGTGTTCTTGGATGTCTATGTTACCCCTGGCTTCGTCCATACAGATCCCACAAACTGAACCCTAGGTCTCGTCCGTGCATCCTTCTAGGATATTCTCATCAACAAATGCGTATAAGTGTCTTGATCCGGTCACTAATCGTCTGTTTTTGTCTCGTCTTGTTGTTTTTGTTGAGAGTGAGTTTTCCAGGATACCCTCCTCCCGACCGCCTCCCGAACCTTCATCCTCTTCTGCCTGGCTTGCGACGAGTCTTCCCTAGTCACCACGCTATTTCCAGCGACCACACCCAACTCATCTCCTGTTCCTCCCCTCAAGCTAGTGACGTCCACGTCTGGTCCTCCTCAACCGCACGTCCCACCTCGACATACAACCGGTTTGACCTTTACTGCACGTCCATCTCCGCCACCTCCTTCCCATCTAATGGCGACTCGAGCTAAGCATAACATCTTTAAACCTAACCGCAAGTTTGCACAGACTTTGACTACATCGCAGGTGACTCCTCCTCTTGAGCCTCGCTCAATCAAAGAAGCACTTCTGTATGCGGAATGGAATGCAGCACTTCGGGCTGAGTTTGGCGTACTTTGTGCCAACCGCACGTGGGATCTCGTGCTTGACTTACTTACTACAATCTTATTGGGAACAGGTGGTTGTACCGCATCAAACATCGACCAGACGGTAGTACCGAGCGCTTCAAAACACTTTTGGTTGCCAAAGGGTTCAATCAACGACCCGGTGTTGACTTCCACGAGACGTTCAACACGATTCTCAAACCCGTCACTGTTCAAACGTTCTTCAAGCTAGCACTGTCCCATGACTGGCCGATCCATCAGTTTGATGTTCACAACGACTTTCTACAAGGCCCGCTTCAGAAAGGGGTATACATGGAGCAACCTCCGGGGTTTTGTGATTCCTAGTTTCCTAATCATGTGTGTCGACTGCGCCAAGCCATCTAAGGCCTGCGCCAGGCTCCGCATGCATGGTATGATGAACTGAGCTCATTTCTTGTGACCAACGGGTTTGTTAAAACCCACTCGGATGCTTCCCTGTTCGTCTACAACAAGGATGGTGTTCTTGCTTACTTCCTCATGTATATGGATGATCTCTTACTTACCAGAAACAACAAGGCATTCCTTCACGCCTTTCAAGATCAGTTGGCGGCTTGGTTTGCTCTTCGTCGACTTGGCCAGGTCAATTACTTCCTCGAAATCGAGGTTATTCCCACCTCAAATGGTTTTACCTTGTCTCAGCATAAGTACATTCAAGACATTCTTGCCCGGTTCCAGATGCAGGATGCGAAACCGAATTCCACTCCTCTCGCCTCCACGGCTCGTCCGCTTCTCCGTGATGGCACTATACCTGCTAATGGCACCTTATACCGACAGGCACTGGGCGCTCTTCATTACCTCGTGACTACTCGCCCCGACGTCGCATTTGCGGTTAACTAACTGCCTCAGTACATGTATGCCTCGACCTCTCATCACTGGCTGCATGTTAAGCGTTTCCTACGCTATCTTGTTGGCACGAGTTCCCTTGGCCTCCATATTCGTCGCCAGCAAACTCCTCTTCGCCTATGTGTGTTCTCTGACTCGGATTGGGCTGGTGACCCGACTGACCACACTTCCACCTCTGGCTTTCTTTTGTATCCTGGTGATACCCTGGTTTCGTGGAATTCCAAGAAACAGAAGTCAGTTGCTTGGTCCAACACTGAAGCTGAGTATCGCGCCATTGATCTCGCTACCTCCGAGGTCCTCTGGGTCTGCAACCTTCTGTCTGAACTGTGTCAACCACTCTCCACTGCTCTAGTCATTTTCTCAGATAACATGGGAACCGTTCATTTCAGATCCAATCTCGTGTTTCACTCCCGCATGAAACACCTGGCTTTGGATTATCATTTTGTGCGTCAGCTCGTCCAGGCAAAGCAACTCCAAGTTCGTCATGTGCCCACAGTTTCTCAGTTTGCCGATGTTCTCACCAAGCCTCTACCGTCCACTCGCTTCCACCTTTTGTGCTCCAAGATTGGGCTTGCTGATGCCGCCTCCATCTTGCGGGGCGTATTAAGGATAAGTCTTTATCCTCTTAGTACTTGTACTCCTAGTTTTAGTTGTATTGTAATCTCTTGTACGTATTCCTTTCCTAGTTGTACTATATAAAGCCTTTGGGTATAAATACCCCTCACTAGTATTGAATAATACAGAACAAGGAACAACGGAGGCGAGATGAAAGGCGGGGAGGAATCCAAGGGTGCGGTCGGCGGCAAGAGCAACGGCGGTACCTTCCTCGCCAAGCTAGCTAGACTAGAATTCCCACGATCCGCAGGAGAAGACCCGGGGGCTTGGTTTCCTCCTGTCGAGCAGTTTTTTGAGTACCAGGAGGTTCTGGAGGAGCAAGAAGTAGCGCTGGCGTCATTCCATCTGGAAGGCGAGGCAAACCAGTGGTGGGAGTGGCTGACTCGACTCTACTGTCACCCTAGGAATTGGCCAAGTGAAACCACTTCCTAAAGCGTGGTATAGCGGGTTAGGTTTATATGTCAACCCGGGTCCTAGATCTGATGACTACTCAGTGAATTCTTGTTATCTAGCAATGAAACTGGAATGCAAGTCTAAACTATCAAACTAACAAAGCAAGTAAACTGTTGTATTCAGGTTAAGAGAGGTCACCCGGATATGGTTCCCCCTAGACTGCAGTTAAGCCGGATTGTAATTACCAAGTTCAGTTTCTATGATAGTTATACTGTGGAAGGTTCTTAAACAGCCTGAAGTCTCGACTAAAGGTCTTCAGACCCTCTCAATCTGAATCTCTAGCGGGCGACTAACCTCCACCGGAGTAAACATATTGAGGCCCTAAGAACAAAACCTCCACTACCGGAATGAATCCGGTACAGAATAGTGAGTTGGTTCCTCGACTAAAGTCACCAACTCCCTATCTTCAATCAAGGATACTCTATTAACCTAGGCAGATATTCTCATTCTAGGTTAAAGCAGAAACAACAGGAATTTGATCAGGATTCAAGTCATTCAATCATTCAAACCTCAATCGAATATAATCAATCATAGAATCAGTACTTGGGTTCATACAATCAAAGCCTAACATACAAATCTAGGGTTCTCCGTACCCAGATGAATGGGAGAACTACTCCATGGAGAAGAAAGCAAAAGCAGAATCAGACCCGGAATTCATACTGTGAAGGATGGATTCCTGCTCCTGGACGTTGATCGGCACTTCTCCAAGCTCAAACTGGCCTCCAATGGTGTTGAAGATCAAGCTAGGGCGCTTGGAGACTCTTGTTCGTCGCTTTCTCTCTCTAGGAACTGATCTCTCTCTCTAAAACTCGAATCCCTTGATTTTCAGCCCTCTTTTCCCTTAAAACAGCTGCCTGTCGCGATACCCGGTCGAAATACCCGGTCGGGTATTTTGGGTCTCGACCGGGTATTATCAAAACGCACGTTTCATGCTAGGGGAAAATCCCCAGTCTGCTCCAATAATCCCCGGTCGGGGATTTAAGCTTCACGACCGGGACCCCTTCTGTTTCTCAGACGCCAAAAAGGGAAATCCCCGGCCTCTTCAGAAAAATACCCGGCCGGGTATTTGTGGTCATGGCCGGGTATTTTCTTCCTCCAGCCCACTTCAATCCTCGTTGCTCCTTTCGACCCGAATCTCGTTCCTTCGCCTCGATTCCAACGCCGGGTCCTGAAATATGACATAAACACACAACCTCGCGTGAAATCGGCTTAAAACCCGAGAATTAATCTTTCAAACGGCTCAAGAATAGGGGTGAAAATACGTGTAATTATCGGTCTATCAGTGGCTGAAGAGGATGTACAAAGATGCGGGAGAGCCTATTAAGTGGGAGCTGTGGGCGCGATTTGGACCGATGGAAGGAGAAAGATGCGATGAAGCTCTCTCTCGCATTCGCCAGAAAGGGTCGCTCCGGGACTACCAGCGCGCGTTTGAAAAGCTCGCTAATCATTGCGTCGGCTGGATGCAGCAGGCATTGGTGGGAACCTATCTGGGTGGCCTCAAGTTCGAAATTGCGGATGAGATTCGCATGTTTCGACCTCAATCTCTCCGATATGCAATAAGCTTGGCGCAGATGAAGAGTGACCAGTTGTAGCGACACAAACCTCCAACAGGTCGCGCGACATCCAATCCGCTGCCAATTACTATGGCTGCAGGATTTGGAGGTGGACTAGCGGGAGCGCGGGCTGCAACTATGGCGGCGAGAGCAGAAACACCACGAGGGGCGATAAGAGGCAGGCGGTTGACTTGGGAAGAACAATAGTTGCGTCGAGCTCAAGGGTTATGCTTCAATTGTGACGAACGGTTTACCATCGAGCACAAATGCGGCACGGTCAAGATTATGTGCTTGTTTGATGAGGAAGAGGCTGAAGTCAACCTTGGGGACAAGGTTGAATTTGAAGGGGGAAGGAATGATAGCAACTCGTAGTCTAGCGGGCTTAGTTGTTATTGACAGTTATCGTATTATTATTATTATTATTATTATTATTATTATTATGTATTGGATTCGAGCTTGTTCGGTTAGTATTATTTTGTAGGATAGGTCCTCGTACGTAACCCATAAGGAGTTGGACTTCTTAAGGGTGGCAGATTAGGGGTAGGGGCCGAGTGGCCTAGTCGGGTATTAGGGTTTCTGCACTATAAATATGTATGTTCGGTGTTAGTATCGATTATCAAATTAATAAACTAAAAGGTCTTTCGACACCTACGTCGTTCTCTCGCCTGTGAGTTACAATCAAACCCTAACTCGGGAAAACGAGTTGCTATCATAGACGTGTGGCGTGATATATATTTGAAAATAGAAAATCTCACCAAATTGAACCATATCCTGAAGCATGTTGGGGAAGAAGGTGACCAAAAACAAATTGCTTTGGATAGAAGCGTTTCAACGCACATCGCTTCATTTGACCTCGATTTACACTGCATCGCATTAACCAGCCACGACTAACACAAGTCGCTGGTTATTGTCAACATTTTTTCTTTCTCGAACCGATGTTTTGAAAGTAACGAACATTAATTGCTTCTGGTTGTGATAATTTCTATCGATAAGTGCTTTCGTCAGCGACCCGCGTAATAAAATCTGTGAACTCCAGAGTGATTGCATTTTCATTGTTTTTATTGTAAGTGTAGTATTGTAAGTTTTTTATTTTTAGAATTTATGTAATTTTGGCGGCATTCCAGTTAGTTTAAGCTGAAACAAGCACCGCCTAACAAATAAATAAAGGGAAAAAAAAAACACCGCCCACATGGATAACCTTTTCTTTCCTATGATTAACATGTTATATATCTAATCTAGATGTTTTAGCTGGCATATAAAATAATAAATAGGGTTGAAAAGCCCTCGTGATTGCGGTGAAGGGCAGCATCATCATATGTCATATCTCACATGTCCTGTATACAAAAACAAATCACACGCTTCCTTTTTGCAAATTCAATTTATGTTATGTGGGCATGAAGCAGGATTCAATCACGGCGTAAGAAAAAGTCAATGGTCGCTGTTAAGCCACAATTAGGGAAAAGTAGGGAGGGATTAGTTTAGTTAATGCATGGATATGATAATGGCCAACCCAACCGGACACCCATTGTAGACCACAACCTTTCCTTTCCTTTCCCTTTGTCGTCGAGGGTCACACAGTTCATGCTGGCCAAGGCCAACTACTTTTGTAAAAATGAGCTCAGCCACTCAACGTTAAAAATTGATTGCCAACAAACAACGACCGACCATGCCGTCCTCGTTTTCGCAAGGAGGGAGGCGAGGGATCATTTCTAATTAATTACAGATGTCAACAATTCATGGATCGTTCCCAACGTCTTTTGTTTGAGGAATTAGGATTGATGTCATAGGTTTTTTTCTTTTTCTTTTTTCTTTACCATACAACTTGAATGTGTACTTTTAATGTTATGGTAAAACTTCAAATTGTGCGTATACTCTTTTGTATAAATTCTTTTATAGTACAACTTGAACTTGTACCTTTATGTGATGATACAACTTCAAGTTGTACCATAATATAATGGTGCAAAATTTTGTATGCTACTGAACTTATACATTTAACGTTATATGATACAATTTAAAGTTGTACATTAAAGTACCCATGCTTTATAGCATAGTAGAAGTGGTGCTTTTGGTTTGTGTACTAATAATTTTTGACAAGCCTCAAATTGGAAAAAATCCCAAAATACACACGTTATTAAAAAAAATTCTCAAAATACATACGTTATAAAAAAAATTCTCAATCTACGCATGTTTGGACTTCACCGCAGTGAATAGTATCACCGCGGCTGTCAAAAGGGATGTACGCTTCACCGCCACGATCGGAAGTGGTGAATAATTACTCGCCATTCACCGCGGGTGTTCCACGTGGTGATGGCCTAACCCAAATTAATAAGCAATAGTCGTCGTAATAATAATCAGCTGGCGAATGGGCAGTTGCAGGCCCAGCTGTAGTGTTGTAAGCGAAAGACTTAACCGTGTGGATCCACCGAAAGTAGGTCGGGCAGCTCACGTTGCCTCTCGTCGTCGTTGGGTTGTAATTGCTGCTGGTGGCGGTGGTGCTCCTCCGAGATGGGCATCAGAGAGGGAACTCCTCCTGCTGACTGCCGCTAATGAAGCTGCTGACGGCGGAGGACCGCGAAGAAAGAAATTGCAAGCAGAGGAGCAGAGGAGATGGAGGCCAATTATCTATAATTACTTGCTAGCATCACACATATATATATATATATATAATTCAGTATTAGCTTACTAAGCGGATGAATCTCTACCCGGGTATTGCTTAAAAATTTGGGTTAGGCCATCACCGCGTGGAACACTCGCGGTGAATGACGAGTAATTATTCAACGCTACCAACCATGGCGGTGAAGCATTCATCGGTTTTGACAGCCGCGGTGATGCTGCTATTCACTGTAGTTGACAACCGCGGTGAAGTCCAAACATGCGTAGATTGAGAATATTTTTTATAACGTATGTATTTTGAGAATTTTAGTTAATGTGTGTATTTTGGAATTTGTTCCCCTCAAATTGACAATTTTTATGCCATCTCAAGATAATACAAAAGCCATGCATTATTCCCTGAGTAACAAACATATTCAGACTAAGTTAAAGCTAGATTGTCTCTTATTAGGCATCTCCGGAATAGTATTCATTCTTATTTATCGAGTAATTTCCTGTTCAGATTCTAAAATTTGTTAATGTCTACAGTTAACTTAAACTCCAAAGTATTTAATTTGGGTTGGTGAAAGTTGTACAAACTTTAAACTTAAAATTTATAAGTTAGGCCCCGTTTAGTATCGATTTGTTGCCGTTGTGGTTGCAGTTTTGTTGTGTAATTAAACAGATGTACAAACACAATAGAAAAAAAAAACAGAAAACGCAAACCTGTTTAGTTGATAATCTGAAAAATAATGAAAGCAGACAACAAGAAACAAAAACGTGTTCAATTACTACTATTAGAATTAAAAACCAGAAAAGAGAGGAGGAGGCGGCGGGGGGAAAAGATTCGAAGTCGGCGACGGGAATCGAGAGGAGGAGGCGGCAGGGGTTGCGAGGTCGGGCGACAGGGGAAAGAGAGGCGGCGGGGGCAAAGGGACGAAATTGACGACAAGGGGGAGATGGACGATATCGACGGCCTGGGTCTCGAGAGGAAGAAGTTGAGGTGGATATTAAACAATGATGTAAGAATATATCTTTTCTCCTCTCTCAACTCAATTTATAGTTTTGCTTAAATGAATTTGAAATTGGACAATATCATTATTACTTTTAGATATGATTAATGGAAACATAATGAGTTTTGCTATTATATAAAAACTAGCTTTTTATCCTCGACAAGGAAGCGTTTTGCTTGAGATTGTAGGAGCAAGGTTTTTGCCATAGTTGTTTTCAATATTTATAGATATTCGGCTGTTTGAGGCTGTGTTTGTTCATTTTGCAGGTACAGCTGCTCATAGTTAGGGTTGCCCATCTTGTGGCAAAACATGCTCTTTCATCGACAGTTCGACTATTTGTCGACTATCGCACAATATTATTTCTGTTCTTTGACTCTGTATTGACCAAGGATTTAATTGGCTATTGTCTATCTTAAAAAAAAACTAGCTTTTTATACAACTTGTGGGAGAGTGTCATTTTAACAACTTGGCTAGATATTGTCTCTTATTAGGCATCTCCGTAAAAGTATTCGTATTTTATCGAGTCATTGCGTGTTCAAATCCTAAAAATTGTTCATTATTAAAGTTACCTTAAACTCAAAGTATTTAATTTGGGTTTGTGAAAGTTGTGCACACTTTAAACTCATACTACCTTTTGTTTGGGTGTACATTATTAAACAATGATGTAAAGATATATTTTTTCTCCTCTCCTTAACAACTCAATTTATAGTTTTGCTAATCATAAATTGGAAATAGACCGTATCTTTATTACTTTTAGGTATAGTTAATGGAAACATAATGAGTTTTGCTATAATATGAAAACCAATTTTTTCATTTTATCATTTATAATAATTAATTTAATATAAGCTTAAACTATTTTGGATCTTCTAATTTTTCCTATGTTCTCTGTTCATAAGTAGGTGTGTGGAATATTTATATTGAAAATTCTCAATACTTAGCATATTCACATTATGGTGCTTCGGTTCTCTAATCATAAATCATGTTGCTAAGGTTTATCATGTCCCGTTTAGAAATTTATTGATGTGCTACTACCCCGTGCAGGTTCTGTCAATCGTTTGCACTGCCTATCTAACTACCCCATCTTAGGCAAGTATAACTCAGAATGACATTGCTAGTATAGTGGCTACCAATGTCGTATTCCACGGGTTTCAATACCATAGGCTACTTCTCACTTCATTGTTATCGAATCAACTGGTTTAGGTTTTTGGGTTGGAGGTTGATTGGGAAATACTAGTGGAAAAAGCAAAGATAAAATCAAGGTACTTCGGGGTGCCACCCTCGCCCTAAACTTGGTTCATCACGCAATTGGCTAACTATGTTGGATTTATGGGATAGGATGCAGAACTCTCTTATATAGGGATTTCAACAATTGCTCTTTCTCCTGCTAACACGGCCCACGAAGACCCAATGTCAACGCAGTCTAAGTTTACGTGCTAGGAATGTTCTCGTCATTCCTCTCAATAGGCTTAACCAATCATGTATATTTTTTTTATAAGGGTGATATAAGTTTCATTTTTTTCCATTAAGGTACTACTTAAGAGATTCGAACTTGAGACCTCAGGTTCTAGGCTAATGGTATTACCAGTAGGCCAAGCCCTTGTTCGTTCCTATCATGTATATTAGATTGGTGCTTCGATCAGAACGCGTGCTACCTCTCTAGCATTGTTTTAGGAGGACATTCCTATAGCAAGGCTTAGGTCACCACGCCCACTAAGGACCACTAAGATCATTCATCTACCCTTATTAGTCATATGGCGCTATCCAATCTAAACCCTAAAATTTCCACCTAATGTTAACTAAGTTGTAGAGTAGGGATGATTTGGGAGACATACTCAAGCATACTCAAGCATATTTTGAGGAACGAGTTAGGACTTGAGATGATGTTCTTATAAGAGAAATTAAAAAGTGCCAGATCTTCTACCTACTAGTATCTGAGTCCTTTGGCCACCTCAAAGAAATGAGCAACGTTCTCCTCTGGTGTCCCTACTACAATCCCATGACTAAGGTTCAATATATGTTTCCCTTTACCAGCCTTCCTCACTACATCGTTGATCCGGTTGGTGATAAACTCTTTCGAGCCGAAAAGAACACCTGGATCGACATTTCCTTGGACTGCTACATCTTGTCCCAATCGTCGCCTGCCTTCTGCCATGTCCACTGTCCAATCCAAGCTGACCACATCCACTCCGGTCAAAGCCAGCCTCTCGAGCAACCCTCCAGATCTGCTTGCATAAAGGATTAGAGGAAGGGATGGGTGGCTTTGTTTTACAGTGTCAACTATGTGCTTCAAGTATGGGAGACTGAACTCCTCGAAATCAATTGGACTAAGTTCTGTGGCCCACGAGTCAAAGATCTGAACAGCTTGAGCTCCCTTGTCAGCTTGATATTGAACGTACTTCGCCATGGAAGTAGCAAATTTCTGAAGCAATGCATGGAGAACCTACAGAGCGAGCATAGATAAGTAAAGGCAGAAAGTCAGAAAACAAAATTTAGACGTCCTGATTGAAATGTTTGCATAAATTACCTTGGGCTGGGAGAAGGCCAAGCGTTTTATTTTGATGAAGTGTTTTGATGAACCGCCTTCAACAACGTAAGATGCAAGGGTAAAAGGAGCACCAACAAAACCCAGCACTGCGGCTTGGTTATCTACCTGCCAAAGTTTAAGTACAAAACAGTTAAAACGCTGCCTGATGGCCTTTTTATCCGTGAACTGAGCTAGTCAGAGTATCACAAGGATGACAGTGGTTCTGACATGTAAAAAGGACAAAGAAAGATAAATAAGTTGGCACCTCTTTCCGCAAGATTGTCAATGCTTCCCCAACATATGGAACTGACTCATCAGGAACAAACTCTCTAACGAGATCAACATCAGCAGACGTTTGCAAGGGATTGAAGATAACATGACCCTTTCCTTTTACAATGTCGAAAGGTATGTTCATCCCAGAAAGTGGAGTCAAGATATCAGAAAATAAAATAACCTGCCAAATCAACAGGAAGGGAACATGAAGAACTGAGACTAGGCAACAGTACAGAATCATTGATGAGGTGATTTAAGTCAACATATCAAGCGATATAGTAATAACACAAAAGTTCTTTATTAGATTACCAGAACATGGATCTAGGAGTTATCTTACCCCGTCAGGTTTAAAAACCTTCCATGGTTGTAGTGAGATTTCCACTACAAGATCAACATTTTCTGATCTTTCGCGGAAAGAAGGATGCTTCTCACTTATCATCTGGTAACTCTGCTCAAAGAAAGAAAAGGTAGACGAGTGAGACCCATCGCAATGTTTAACATGTGCATACAAGAAAAACAAGATTATTAGGACAAGGGAGTTTCTAGATAATAAATCACAAAGCATACTGTCAGCACCTTGATACTGCAAACTAGTAATAGCAAGATCAAATTTTTAGAGGACAGAAATGAAGCTGCATAGACCTGCCTTCATATACCGCCCAGCTTGCCGCATGAGCCAAACTGGGGGTCTCTCTACATCCCGTCCTCTAACCGCATTTAGAAGAAGGGGTTTAGTAGCCGAGACAGATTGTGGTTCTGCTACAGTTCCTGTACGAGATGTTTAACCAACATTGCAGTTAAAAGAAGGAAAACTCAATTTAAAAAGAAAAAGACACCACATTTCAAGGGTATAACAAATAACCTAAGAAATACTAGGCGAAAAACAAAAAAGAAACACAGATAATGATATACAGAATAGAGAACACAAAAGTAAAAGTATAAATAGAGTATCCAATACCGATCAAAACCCTCTCAATCAACCTTTAGCAGCAGAAGATTCCAACATTCCTGTCATCACATTACACAAAAACAAAATGCAAATGCTATGGACTTTTCAGAACCAATTAATCCATTGATCACTAGACCATGAACTATGGAGTGCAGCATAACAGCAAACATAAAAGTAGGAGCCACATTCACTTTCTTCCATGTCCAGTCTTTACCAATTGAGTTTAAACAACAAAATCTTCACTACTAGATTAGAGACAGTGCAATCACATTTACCACCACATAATTCAGTTCTTTCGGTTGCCAACCGAACAATCAACATCCCACGAAAAGACTTTAAGCATGAGAATTGAGGGAAACAAAACAGTGGGAAAGGGAAAAAAATACCCAAAATCAGGAACAGCATTGACCAGCCTCCAGAGGAAGAACAGAATGTCGCCATCCTTAAGGGAAGAAGATGAAGATACGAAATGGTGAGATTTACCTTGAAGCGCACAGCGGACGACGGAAGGAGGCTTAGGTGAAGCAGAGATTCTCGTCGGAGGGAAGGCCGAGGAGAGAGCCGAGAAGGAAGGACTGATAGAGCTAACTGCTCCACCACAGACAATGGCAGACATTGTGAAGTCAGACGATGAAACAAATCCCAGAAAGCCCTAAAAAGCTTCTTCAATTTCAATTGAAGCAGTGAAAAAGCAGATGTTTTCCCGTTGCTTGGGAGGTGTATCAGAGATAGAAACCCGAAATCGGTAAGCGGGGGATTTGAAATTTCAGTACCATTGTCTCCGAGACAGTTAGATGGATTATGAAATTTGTAGAACAATAAGATAAGGCACAAAGATCCGTTCAGCGGGAGAAAGAAGAAGAAGAAGAAGAAGAAGAAGAAGAAGAAGAAAAAGGACAATAAAGAGAAAATGGTTTAGACTCAGAGTTTGTCCAACCAATCCGAACAGTGGGCCGGATAATAGTGTTCATCCAGCGAATTGTGTTCGACCGGATCGGATCCGATGTTACCGTTAGCCTTAACAAATAGATCAGTCACTCTCTCTCTTGGTCTATCCTTCATCCATGAAGGTTGTCGACTCATATTGAACCTTCGCCGGCTTAGCTACAGAATCCCGTGTGAACTGTGAACAGTTTGTATCAGTGTCAACTCGGCTAATCCAATTTTTATAGTTTTTAAAATTAAATGTACGAATGTTCGAAATTATTTATATTCATCCTCAATTTTTAGCAATTGTTAAAATGAGGTGGAACTTTTTATTAAGTGTTAGTGTGACAACTTTTTAGTAGTTACTAGGGATGTGGAGATGCTTGCTACATTAGCAAGATTTGCTACGTTAGAAAGTTATCCACCAATGCCACATGAACAATTGTCTTCTTTTTCATTTTTCTTAATTGATAACTTGTTAGTTAGAAACTGTTTAGCTTTATCTAAATTAGTTTATGGGACCCGCATTAGACATTAATAACACAATTTTGGGGTGTTGGTGACTCAAAATTGCTAAGTGAAGAATTGCAAATATTGGTGATGTGTAGGGAGCACATCCAGAAATTGTTAATCAATTTTAGGTAAGAAGATGATCTGCTGGGTTAATTGCATGATTGGTCACTGTGATAACAAAAAACGTTCATGTTTGGTCATTCGAAATATTTAAATTCATTAATGGTCACTAAAATTAGTAAAAACCGTCCAAGTTTGGTCACTCTCCGTTAGTCTTCGTCAGTCTCCGTTAACCAAGACCGTTATGTGTTGACAAGGCAGACAGAATCGCCTAGTCAGTCTAATTTAACCCAAAATAGTGAAATCCGACCCGCCATGTCATTTTTTCCCATCCCAACCAAATCCTTGAACTAAACCGACCCACCCATCCATGAACCAACCACTCAAACAAAATAAGGGTTTATCCATGTTTCCTTTACAAATCTGAACTCTAGTTCTTCATTTTTCTTGCATTCCCTTCGACAACCAGGTCTGAATGGTGCTTGAATCGGTCGCATTTCCTCAAGTTGGACAGAACCGACCAGCCAAGCGTCTAGAATATCATAATCAAAGATGTAGTCGATCCGACGGCAGACCGGAGGGTGGAGGAGGCGAAGAGGTCGAGGCGTGAGTAAGGGGACGCGACAGAGAAGGGCGGTGCGGGGATGTCGGTGAAGTCATGTATCCTTGGAGCTCGGGCTAAACACCACTTCTCTATTTCTATTCGGCATCACTGACAGCCTCTCTACCTCTGTATATCCACCCAAATACCCAAATAATTAAATTTCTTGTTTCTCCCAGGTGGAATAGATGAAAACCAGAGGTAATTTTTGGGGTGGATGAAATCCCAAGAGAGGGGTTGTGAAGGAGAGACTCATAGATGAAGGAAGAAGTCATTGTGATGAAATTGACCACCACCTCCAAAACAGGGTAACTGCCTTTCAATTTCTTCTCCCACCCGTCGCTTAAGATCCTTTCCCCAGCACTATTCTTCTCCCTCCGACTCCAGCTGCCTAGCCCCTCTTATTACCCCTCCATTATCGAAAAGAAGCAGAGGATCCAGCGAGCCAATCATCTTCCTCATTCAGATATGTTGGCCGCTTCATCTTCTCTGGCGAGCCAATCATCTACCCCAATCATATCTGTAAAGTATAGACTCATTGCGTTGGCCGCTTCATCTACTCATGTCTCTTGGGCTCGATTTGGTTCCAATTGAAAGAGGGGATTTTTGAGAATTGGGTTTAAAAGCAGCGGAGGAACAAGAATAGAGATTGAGGATGCGGAGGAGCTAGAGGAAGAGGTGCAAAGATGGATGGTTGATGGTGGGTCAATAAGTTAGGTTAGGGTTTTAGTCATTGGTTGGGCTGAATTACCTGATGTGGCAGATAATATTTTTTAATTTTTGGGGTTAAATTTGGTGACTAGACTGTTCTGTTAGCCACGTCATCAAAAAGTTGACGTCGTTAACGGAGACTGACGGAGACTAACGGAGAGTGGGCGAAACTTGTCGAAGGCAAACACCACCGCAAGCAGATCCTTCTCTGTGGTGGTGTAGTTCTCCTGGGCATCATTTAGGGTCTTCGAGGCGTAGTATATAGGTCGGAGACCAAACTTGGATGGTTTTACTAATTTTAGTGACTACGAATGGATTTAAATATTTCAAGTGACCAAACTTGAACGTTTTTTGTGATCGCAATGACCATCCATGCAATTAACCCCATTAAATAATATTAATAGAAAAACAAATTATATTCCAATCCTCTACCCCACCAACACTTTCTCATTTTTTTCTACCAAAATAAACCTTCCCCACTTTTAGTGTCTGAAAACTAGAATATCTCTCTCTCTCTCTCTCTCTCAATAGAATTTGCTAGCGGCGGCCGGCGGCAACTCCTAGTTTCTCACCCTTCCCCTATTTTCTCCCATTTTCAAATTAACAAAGTCGTTGACCCCTCTCTTTTACTGTCGCTCATTAGTGGTCGCATATATGTCGTCGTACTCCCTTTCTCTTCATTGATGAGGGAACCCCTCTCACTTTCTCAATCCACTCATATTGCTTTGAGATTGAAAAATAAGAGGATTTTCAATTTTCAGGATGGATTATTCAACTACCATATGGCAGTTTTCATTAGCATGTTGCTCGGTTAGTTAGGAAACCACAGAAAGTTTGGGGTAGGCTTGACTGGATTTTAACAGGTTGATTAATCCCTGTTTTTTTTTTATATTCAACTGGTTCTATGAATCCATGTATGAAGGTCTGGTTCGGTTGAACCAAGTTCGACTATTTGGACGAACTTTGAGTTGACAACCATGTTCCAACCAACTAGCATGATACTTTTGGCCCCGAATGGCTTTCACACTCAAAACTCCTGTGAAAATGATAACTTATATTTATTTTATGTGAATGATGAAGATTGTTCTTTTCTCTTCATCAAGAGTTTGATATTTTTCTCTATGATGGAGCACATTCCTTTATTAGTGTTTTAGAGTTTCACACAATCCTTATTGTTTATAATGAATAAAATCAAGAGCAAAAATATTGTGATTGAAATTATCATGGAAGATTGCTTCAACTTGTCCAAATTTGAATGACATGCCTAGTAAAGAAATATCATTGGCTTGACATGTTAAACAAGTTTAGCTTGACAAAATCATTGATACGGGCAAGATTTGTCTTGCACTTTACTTCAATCATATCTAGGACAAGTATATCCTAGCTATTCATTGAAGACTTGAAGTACAATGGTGACCTCTGGTTAACTAATGTCGTATTCTACGGAATCGGAAGTCCGGCCACTACTTCAAAGACCTGATTTCTATCTAGTTGATAGTTTAGGGTTGTATTCAACTAACAACCTAAGAATTAGGAATGGGTTAGGGTGGTTACTTGTTTTTTAGTAATCACGGTGGAAACCTCTTTATATACCATTTGATTTTCTATTTTCCCTTCTATTTTAATCTTACGGTCAAAATTCTTGGAGGGTAATTTTGGAAATGAAAAAGTGACCACACCCGATTATTCTATATAATCTACCCAAACCGTAGTTATACCCTCCCTCCAGTCAAACCCGCCGCAGCCGCCTCCACCACTCCCGTCGCACTAAGACTAATCTCGTCGGCCGCCTACACCAGCCCCGACGACGATGACTCCGTGCAAGCAACGACGACTGCCGCCACTGTTGCTGTGTCCTACTCCGACTGTGTCGCCGCCGCTGCCGCCTCCTTTCCCACCCATCTTCCTTCCTCACCCTCCCCTCTGCATCACTGCCCCCAAATAAGATCGGAGTACAGACAACGCCGATGGCCGGACTTCTGCTTATTCTCTTCTTTATCAACCTTTTCCACATTGACTTCCGCTTCCGCTTCCTCCAATTCTATTTATGGCTGTCTAGTCTCTCAGCGTTTACAACGGACGCTATGGCCGCAACTTAAATGAGTTTCCCTCAGATGATAATCACGACGGCGTTGCTAGAGTAGTAGTTGGACTCAATGTGTAGTAGTATTGGTAATGGTACTATTATACGAATATGATTTTTAATTAGTATTTGTTATTGGTTTGTAAATTGTAATCATATTCCTCCACTGGCTGCAATTTTTTTTATTTGCATAATGGTATTGCTTTACCAAGCAATGGTATTGGTAATGACATTCATTAAGGAAAATTGCCTTTTCTTTTGGTAGTACACTACTATTTGGTATTGTTTTATCCTTTGAGTAATGGTAGTCCTGCAGTGGTATTGATTCAATATGCAGTGGTATTGGTTATATAACAACATGATATTCATTCATCTTCGTTTGGTAGTGACACTTTAGATTGCTATTGGTTCATTCACGTGTATTAATATTAGCAATGCTAGTCTGGTAGTTCTTCAAAGTCTAATGGTATTGGTTCAAACCTTAATGTTCATAATTCTCTTCATATATGCAATGGTATAGACTGTTTATATTGGTAGTTTTCGTGTAATGGTATACATTTATTTCTGCAATGGTATTGATGTTTTTCAAAGTGGTAGTTGTTGTATAATGTATTGGTAGTGATTTTTTTTTTTTTTGCAGAAAGATTGAGAAAAATATGGAAATGAATCTGGCTGGAGATTACAGAAGTGAGAGAAAGAGAGAGAATTGTAATTAATAGAT